TCCCTGAGACCCAATGAAAAGTATGAAGCAGCAAACTTTTCTCTTGGTGAAGAACAGTCGGGTTAGGGAACACTTGAAAAAAATCGGACATCGGTAAGTCCATGGGGCATAATGGATTGCACCCATGAGTGCTATGGGATCTGTCTGATGTTGTTGCAAGGCAACTTGACTGTCTTTGAAAGGCTGTGGTAATCCGGATGTTTCTGAGGACTGTTACCGCTGACTTCAAGAAGGGGAATTACAGGTTGGACAGCCTCAGGAGGTGAGGTGGTGTTGGAACAACTAATCCTGGAAACAGTTTCCAGAAATGTGAAGGACAAGAAGCTTATTTTAAGTATTCATTATGGTTTTATGAAGGGGAAATCATGCTTAACCAACCTGATAGTCTTCTGTAATGAGGTGACTGGTTTGATGAGTGAGAGGAGAGCAATGCATGATGTTTGCCTTATTTCAGTAAGATTTTTGATGCTATTTCTCACAATATTTTAATGAACAAGCAGGAAATATGAGTAAGCTAAGTGGACAGTGAGGTATATTGAAAACTGACTGGCTGGGCCCAGAGAGTTGCATGAATTCCAGCTGGAGGCTGATTAATTCTTCCAGGTCAAAGCTATAAGCTGTAAAAGGGCACATTCAGTAATCTATTTTTTTTTTGTTTGTTTTCCTGCATTTATGATCAGCTTCACAAAGTCCCAGAGCTGTGTGTTTTCTTATCTACAGGTGTGAAGTAAAAGAAAGAGAGAAGGTGAATTTGGTCTTTTTGCTTCTTTTGGTTTGGTTAATGAGGTGTGGATCAGCTTTGTTCTGTTAACATCCCAGGTCACATTCATCTTGAAACTGCACCAAGTGGATTTAAGGAGGTGTTACATAAGAATGGTAAATAAAGCCTACATTTGGGTCAGAATTCATCGTTACAGGTATTTATAGTTTCACTACCAATGCAGTCTTGCTACTGGAATATTTCAGGAACCCATTACCATCTAACCTAAACAAATCTGCTTTCTCTTAGCAGCATTTTGTTAACAGATGTAGCCCAGAGACTGAACTTTGCAAATTGTGCATTGGAATTGAGGCGTTTCAGCTAAATTCAATAAATGTTGACAACAGTTAACTAATTGCACAAGAAAATTATCACCAAATTGTGAGGAAATAAAGTTCTCATTTGTGATTGTGGTTTTTTTTTTTGTTTGTTTTCTCTTTCAGCCTGGAGCATCTTGGGGTTGTTGATATTTTAGAAGGGAAGGTGATACCATTTGACTTTAATTTTAGCTATTCAAATCTACAGTTCTTCTAAATCTTGCTATAAAGGGCTGCAGAAAAGGCAGCACGCATACTTGAAGACAAAAATTGTTACCAAATAGACTCACTTGCTAACTTTATTTCCTCAAAATAACAATTTTTCAAAAGTGTAGTATTTGAATGAACATTAAACAAATAGGCTAGAAAAGTTGAAACTTCATGTTAAAATTGCTCCACGCCGATGTAAATTATATATCCAGCATCTAAGTACTTAGCCTGTTCTCATTGACCTTGACAGCAATTACAGAGGTCGTATTTATCTATAGGGAGCTGGAGTCTGAACAATTTATTTACTATATTAGAAGCAAGGAGGCTTTACTTGTACATACACACAACTATGAGTTTTCCTTTTTAAAGTAAAATCTTCTGTGGATATTGCAAATACAGTTTTCATTTATACTGAGATCTTGTGAGTCTTGTGAAAGAAAATGCATAAGCCAGGATGTATGTCTTTTGTCTTTTAACTCCATGAGCATGAATCATGTTGAAGGGTGCCCTTTCGCTGTGATGTACCAAGAACAGCATTCTGTCTTGTGCCATGCACTCTTCAGTGTGCTGAGCAAAGATAAACAGCTACACAGGTAACTAGTCCTACTGGGGAATGGGAAGAGTATTCCTAGAACAGCTACCTGAGTATTTAATGGCTGTTTTTAGGCAAGTATAATTGTAGTTCAGGAAATGCTTCTTTAATATGGAATCATTAGTGGTTAGATATGGTAAAGAAAGTGTAGAACCAACCAGGATTAATTTTTTTGTATTTGAACTATGTATCCAATTTGTATTGATGAACAATGATTTTTATATACAGATTGACTTAAACTACAGGCGTTACCAATGCCCAAACTTAGTAATTAAAGAGGCCATGTAAATTGCCTTTTATTAAGCTTAGGCACTATCTTTCAGTAGTGCACTTTTGCTAATATTGAGTCTCTTTTTCTCTATTGCTCTTTCACTCTTCATTATTTCACTTTTTTTTAATTGAAAGAACTTACTTTATTCTGTCCTTTTCATACAAAAAACATGAAGAAATGGTGACATGTTTTACAGAGGCCTCTTCTAACTTATTTTTGTGTAAGTACAGTGATGGATTGTTTTGAGTGCCAAAGTACAAATTTTCATTAGGTCAGGTGAAAACAAAGACAATTCAAGTTTCCTTCATCTGTTGTAATCAGAGCATCTCCATTGCCAAAGGGGAATAGCTACCCAGTACAGTTTCCATAGCAGCAAGTTGAGCCAATAATGATTTTCAGTGTAGTGTGTCTAATTGTAGAAGGTGAAACTCAAAATGCATGAAGAGGACTTCCTTCTCTTTCTATAGGGCCCTTTGTATAGTTTCTTTCTTGAGAAGTGTCCGGACTTTTACTTCCAAATGGGTTGAAGGCTGTGGGCACTTCTCTCACTGACTCTCAGGGCATTTTTGAATATTCTATCGGAAGGGTTTCAGCTGGTATTGAACATCTTACACCAGTCCTGCACAAAGAGCAGGATTTCTCCTAGACAATATTTTTTTTTTCCTAACAATTTCTTTGCACTTTATTTTTTAATAAAACCATGAAGAAGAGATATGAGAATGTTTTCTTTTGGGAAATTAAGTCTCTACATCACTTGCAGTTCAGATAAAAAAAGAGCTTAATGTATTCAGGAAAAAAAAATTAAGTTTAAGTTATCCTTCTTTGAGATTGTAATCTGTAGGAAATACAGGAGATCAATAGTTAATTCCCACACATATGTAGTTCAGATCCTCTTTCTTTTCTCAGATTCTTCATGAAGATGCCAATTGCAGAGATTAGTTTCAGAGAGGTATCTGGTGACAGCAAGGACTCAGCTACCAACTCCATGAAAGTTTTTCACTCAAATTTATACACTTTGTGTAGCACTAGCAACTCAGAATGGATTTCTGCAGATACCCTGGAGACACAGGGATCCTAGTTTCATTAGCATTCCTATGGTTTATTCATGATACATAGATGCCTTAGTTTGTCAAGGAGTAGCAAATGGGTATCAGCTCTTTTTTGCTATTATAATTTCAGTTGGCAGGTTAAACTATAATAGCAAGTAACTTTAGGTTTTTAATTTCTTTTATGTTGACCTGCCTAGGAAGTAGCATTTATTTTCTTTGATTAAAAAGAAGTAAAATGTAAGCTAGCGCTTCCTAATTAACTTTGTGCTGAAGAATAACTGCAAGTGACGAAGAAAGATTCTTAGAGACTTTTAGGATGGTAAAAATGTATTCCACAACTGATGTTCTGTATGGTATAGCATTCAGAAGAGGTGAATTAGTCTGCTGAATTTTAGTGCCTTATACTGAAAAGAACTCACTATCCTGCAAATATTTCAGTAGTTTGTACAAAGTTAATGTAGGGCATGTATTTTTTATGACTTATAATAGTATAAATATTTATTGAGGATTTCAATTTTGTAGTATCACTTTAGTATAAACTGTTAAGCTCTTATTATACAAGATCAATATTTAAGAATTGGATTTAGATATTTAATTTTACAAGATACATAGCTTTACTAAATGTAAAAATATTCCTTTGGTGTATGTTTTTCACCTTTAAACTGAGTACAAGTTCATTGTCCCTTGGAGGAAAAAGTAACATCTTCATTTGTGATCACAGTGCTTTTCATAGGTTACAACTAAGTGCTTTTTGACAACTTAGGCATGTCTTTGGCAACCAAAACATTTTGGTTTAGAGCTTGAATTCAGTAAAATAGCAAAAACTTGAGTGAACACAGACATCTTATGTCGTCACCCTATAAACTGAATTTGAGTAGTTTTCCATTATTTTTAGTAGTGGTGAAGTATTGTTTAAATTTCCAGAAGTCTGATATCCAAGTTAAAAATAATCAGTTACCAGTACATTCAGTAGCAGAAGAAGGAAGCTGTCTATAGCAAATTGATTCTTTCACTGTCATGAGCAGATTGCCCAATCCCTAAAAGTCGTTTTTTGTTCTACTCCATTGACTGTGAACTCTAACTTTGCTTCTGGAGATTTATTGCCACAGATAAGTTTTGTGGCAATAGCCTTTTGATCTCCTAGATCAAGATTGAATTATAATGCATACCAGACTCTTTCAAGTTTTGAATTTTCAGCTTTAGAGATGATTTTCTCTTTGGATAACTATTTTCAATGTATCTTTATTTTAAAATACCTTTTGCTTTGTATAATTTGCTCTAGTCTTCAAAGATATTTTGTACAACTTCTCAATAAATATTTACTCTTAATTAATAATGTGTAACAAAGTTATTTTGGGGTTAGACGTTCATAAAACTTCAAATGTTCAGTGTTACAGAACCAAATTTTTTCTAGCTTCTTAAGCATATTTCTCTTGTTTTATTTGTATGGGATTATTTTCACATACATGACAGATGGGTATATTGGCTAGAAAATCTTTATCAAGTAGCATACAAAAATATGTGGCAATGTACAGTGCCAGGATGATAGATGGTTTGGCAAAATGCTCATGACAGTATGTTTCAATCATATGTGGACTTAATTCTTCTCTTCAGATCTCACTGTTGAATTGTATGAGCCTAAATGAGGTCTGAATGTTTTTTGCCCTTTCTGTCATGGAACAAACTAAATGATAGATAGTGCATAAAAGCAGGGTGATTGATAGCATGACATGGAAGACATCTTTGTTTTCAAACACTGCAAATGTGAATGCTGACGGAATTTTTTGCTTTTATTTCTTAGGCCTTGCATTCGGACTGGTCAATTGCCTGACTTGTATTGCCTTCTGGAACACAAACAAGCTGTGCCAAGATTTCACCATGATGGCAGGTATGTGATGTATCCTACATACCTATGAGAGAGCCAGTTCTGTTACAACTTCTTAGTGATATGCTGTTTTTAGAGATGCAGCATACCACCACAATATCTGCCAGAAAGACAGTTTTTACTATTTTCTCAATCTGGCAGTCGTAGCAGTGTTTCTAGCTGAGCAGACCTCTGTGATTTTACACAGAGGTTATCACTAAAGATTGAATGGCCTTTCTTATAGTTGCTGGGTTTATCTGGTTATATTCAGAACTTTTCTTGCTGAAACATATTAATTTCTCTTCAGAAAGATGTATTTAATTACTTAGAAGGGAATCTAGATTTTTTAAAAAGTAATATATTACAATTTAATTCAACTGATACGGGAAATAAAAAAGAGAGAGGTTCCTCAAACACTTGTTTTATTTGTACAGAAAAAGGAGTCTGCACAGACTTGAGTAAATACAAATTTGAGCTAGCTGAAGGAATGATGTAACATTCATACATTTACAGATTTTTTTTTGTTACATTATTTTCTTTTACCTTTATTTTGAAATTCATGGCTTGTTGTGCCTTTTCCTCTAATTGTGCATCAGCTATTGATGGAATAGCAATCAAGTATGAGGAGGATCTTTTTTCTTTCTTTTTTAACGTCTCATTTAACAGAAATATTTCTCATGAAGCTTAATAAAAGATTTAACGTAATATAAAAATTCTGTCTTTCATGTGGTTCAGTTCATTTGCCTTGTAAAGAAGACATAAAGCATCTTTTTTACAGACTGCATTTTTCTCAGAACATTTTTAGTCATGTTTTTCTCCCAGTTGATTTTTTTTTCTGTGAATATCCCTTTCTAAAATTATGTGCCTGAAAAGCAAACCAAATAAATTTGATTACTCTAGAATATGTGCATTTTTTTTTTCCCAGACCCTCATGTACCTTTTAGTTCTCATTTTATCTTTTTTGTGTAGTTTAAAAATTATTTTTAATGTTAAGCAGGAATAAAATATACATAAATCAGTCAATTAAATGTTACTCATATTTTGTTACAAAAAAGGAGCCAGTGTTTCCTACTCCCAGGGAGTTCTGTAAAGGGCAATAGAAGCTAGTAATAAAAATATTTTCCATATTTTTGAATATTAAGATTTTTGAAGAAAGGCTGGGAATGTCATTCGAAGAGCCAGATTTCAGAATTTAGCCACCTCAGATATCTCAGATTTGATGTAGGTTTTCACTATCTTTGCAGTCATCTAAGTAAATTAGGATACTGAGAAGCAGTCATAGTAACAGAAACCTTAGATTTGTGTTGTGTAGTTTTAGTCATCTGAAATTTTGGTACCTCCCTCTGAAGGGGGAATGGTGACCCTGAAGTAGGTGCCCTCAACAGGCAGAATGAGTTTGCCCTTGGAAAGGCTGACTACAGAAAGAGGTGGAAAGACTGCCTTGGAATAGACGCCTACCTATAAAGGAGAGTTTGTATGCCTAAGTTTTTGACTGATGCAGGTAATGAGGTGAATCCCACTTTGGCTATTTTTAGGTTCAGGCTGTGAGTTATGCTTTCATTTTTTTGTTTTAATAAGATGTTAATCTCAATGAAATTGTTTGTACTTACATCATATAATCTGAATATTGTCCCCCATTTTTTCCTATCTGAAAGCAATATTGTCCCCCATTTTTTCCTCTCTATTCTCATATTTTTCCTGATTTATACTTGTTCATTCACCGAGCTTTAAAAATACAAACTGCAGATTTACTTGTACTTGAGAACTACATATGTATGCTTATAAGATAAAGTAAATGTTTGGACATGTTTCACACATCAGGAGTGCATAGTTTCCATGGTGATGTAATTCATATTGGTTGTATATTCATCTTGGTGGTACATATTCAACTCTGAAGTGTAGTCATGTCTATTGCATTCAAAACTACTGTAAGATTTAGCTTATTTCAAAGTTACATTCATACTATGGTGTTTCATTTATGCTGCTGGTTGGCATGAAGAGTTTCTTGGAGTGGTTAGAGGATCATACACTGATTCCATCATCAAGGATAAATTATACTTATTCCAAGAGAAGACAACAAAAAAAAAATCTTACAAAAGTAGGATGAGTGCTGTCTTGGTGCACAAGTGATATCTCTGATAATAAAGCCGGTAGTATATGGTTCTTATTACTTGAACTGAGTAAATGAGGGAGCATTATGACCCCCTAAGTTCATGGGGTTTGTGCTGTTTGGGATTCTAGCTCAGTAACCAGGACATTGACAAGGGTTTAAAATACACCACACATCTGTTTGTAATTGCCTAATTTTGATGGTGTATTTCCTGAAGAGTTATGGTAATATAAAGAACTGTGAGAGGATTAAAAGGTTGTTGAAATTTCCAGCTATCTTCTCTTAGCGTATTTTCTTTTGGATTCACGCAGTCACTTGCTTTAAGGTCAGCTGGTTTTAAAGTACTTACAAGAACAGAATTTCTGAGTTACAAGTCTTCTGTATGACTCTCTATGTAAATAATCCACTTGTTTAGCATTGAATGATCAACATATACAAAGATTCCCAGGCTAGTCAACTAGCTAGAACACAGAAAAGGATTAGCTTTTGTGACTTTAGAACAAAGAACATAACACCAACACACAATTAATTACACATTTCAGCATTATAAAGTTGAAGAGATGTAGCTAATAGATTGCAGGACTGCTTGTTGATTTAATAAACATAGCAGGACTGTTGACACCTATGCACCAGTGAAGTGATAAATTGAAGATTATCTGCTTTTTCCCCAATCTCCTGTCATTTACTCAGCAATTATGGGTCTGATGCTGCTGTTACTAGGTTCTGCCTTTGTAGGAGAGGTGGTTTCCTGTTTGTTTTTTGTTTGTTTCCTTGTTTTTACAAGACAAGAGGAAGACTGGGAAGTGCTTCTGATGGCCTTTTCCAGGCTGTCAATTAAATCTGACTGTAAGTTAGGAGGATAGCAGCTATGATGTTGATCCTGCCACTTATTGAGGGATTCTCTCTCTTATCTAGTGTATGTCATACTGACTGGCTCAAAGAACTTGGAGAATTCTTTTACAGCCAATGAGAAAACATGAAAAATAAATAATAGTAGAGGGAATAAAACTTTCATATTAGTAGGAAAACTGTAAACTTACCCTAATTTCTCTTTGCTGTGCTTTTTCAGATATCTTTGTCAGTGTTTTTTGCCAGTGTGTTCCCTTGCTTCCTCCCCCTGTCCTCCCTCTTGAATAACCTTCCCCTTCCTGAGGAGCTTTGTATTTTCTTTTTAGAACATTCATAATCATTTCCTTGTCTCATTCCTGTCTCCTTGCTTACATTCTTTCCCTGCTCCTGAGACCTTTAAACTCATTCTTTTATCAAAATTAGCTCCCTACTTTTTTCCCTATTTCAAATGAACTCCAAGCCATTTGTTCTGTCCATCAGCCTGAAACTCACAGCTGTCTACTTTGTTGATGGCCAGTAGTGGTAACAGTTTGGGACAAGGGGGGAAGGGTCAGGCCCTTGCACTAGTCAAGGGAATTAGCTTCAGCTTCTTTGTTGGAGGAGAATGAATGTGGGAGAGGTCTCTTTATTGCTCTTTGTTTACTCAGGTGGCGTGGACTTCATATTTTGACATCTTTCTATCTCACCTGTGAAAAAAGTATCATGGGCTGTATTCTTGAGGGACTAGGTGAATACCTGTAAAAGAATTCAACAATTAACAAAACTACGGTATCCTGTCTTGAGACATAAGTAATACAATAAAAGAATATACCTATTAAATGATAGTGACCTCTATCTCAAAACAACTTGTAAAAAGGAACAACATGTGCAATAACATCTTTCCAGCTGTGGTGCTGCACAGCATCTAGGAAAGTAAGCTTTATGCCAGACTAACTCTTGGAAAAGCAGGAGCTGATTTTAAGCTAAGAATCTAAGGGACTATTTTTGTAATGGCAGAAGGTCCATTAAGATCTGCTGTAGCATAAATGTGTATACGTATAATATGACTCAGATTAAAGTCACTTATAATATGATGGATATTCTTGTCCAAAGAAATATACCTACATTAAAGTAATCGATGGCAAATCCAAAGGTTGTGTTCATGATTCCAGCGAGTTACCTATTTTGCCTTGTTATTGCTAAAAATTTTTAAAGGGCCTCCCTCAGCTTAAGTTAGGTAACTGACATCTCTCTCAAAGGACACTAGGAAACACCAGTGTTGGTTCCTTTACCTTTTAGTACAAACTTTTGGCTTTAGTATAATCTTTTAGATGACCAGAATTTTTAACCAAGGATTCGTTTTTGAGTGTGAGATCATGACGTTGTACTTGCTATTCTGAAAACCTTGTCCCTGGTGCTTAGGAAGTTCCAGATAATGGCATTTTTTGCCACCTGTATTTGGTTTTAACCTTTGATAAAATAGTGTGTGATTGTCACCGGACAAGGTAGACCTTTCTAATAATGCCTCCTGTCACTGTAAAGATAGTGTCTTACTGAAGCCTGTTAATGATGTTTTGTGTCCAGTTTTTCCTGCTCTTTGACATCATTCTGCGCTATTGACTCCCATTACTTTCTGTGAGAGTTTGGTTAAAAGGTTTTTGGTTTTGTTTTTTTTATTTTCAGTGTGATCCATTCAGTATATATTGTACCCCTCAATTTCATGTTTGGAGGAAGTAAATTTCTTATCTGGGGCTTTAGAGAGAAGCTTCCAAGAGCTGCATTTTGAACAAACTAGGGAAGTAAAGAGAAGAAAAGTTCAGCAGGGCTTCATACAACATTCCAGGCTCATGAGGACTGAAGAAAAAATCTGATTACCATTTCAGAGAAAGCTTATCACAGGGAGAGTTGACTGACTGCTGCTCCCTGTACTTCATTCTCATTGTAACCTTCTCTCTAAAAGAAGAAATTACACCTAGACTGAACTTGAATGACTGTTGTGAGTCCATTTGGATAAATTTTACAGGTAACAAAAAAATAAGACACTATTTTGGCATTTTTCAAAAGACAGAATCAGGTTATTGGTACCTCAGAGTGAATACTGATAATACTGCTGGCCCTGATCTAGAGTCTTGGAGAACACTGCTTTCATACATAAAGGCTATTCTAGGCTTTGCTGAGTTTTTCTCTTCCATAAAACACTCCCACCATGTAAGAGAAAGGTTGGACTCTGGAAGAATGACTGGGAGGGACCACAGTTCTAATCTGAAGCAAAAGGTCTACTTTTTTCAGTAGGCTTTTAACTCTTAAAGAAGTGGTACACATTTTGCCATGCTTTTTCTTCCTGCCTGGTTTTCTAGACAGACTGTGACTGAATTAAACCAGCATAGCTGTAGGAAAGAAAACATTCTAATAACTAAGTTAATGCATGGTATTCCTAAATAACTGCAGAGCAGCTCCAAATCTGCCACATGCCCCAAAGAAAAAGAAGTTTAGGATGGAGCCTGCAACGGCTGCCATCCTGTCTGCCTCTCTGGTAACAATTTCCTGTTTGCGCTAGCCCAGTTGCTGTCTACCACCAGCTGTCATATCTGAGAGTCAGTCTCACGGGTTTGTATGCTTGGTTTATGCTCATCTCAGCCACCAGAGAGACAGAATGGGAAATGAGAAGAACTTGGAGCTCATTCACAATCGTGAAGCTTCTTGTCTGTCTCTGGAATTACAGTGTTAGAAAGCCAAACCTCTGTTTTGGTGGTTCATTTCCTGTCTTTGATGTAAGAGCTGTAGAAAATCAGATCAGAAGGCTATTACTGACTTTTTTTTTTTTTTTTTCCATCCCATCCCACCCTGCTGCCCCCCATGTGGGACAGCCCAGACTGGCAGAATTACACTTGTTTTCATATTTAGCTGTAATTGTCTTAAATCAGTACTTATCTTCATCAAAACCCAAGAGCACTCCCTTAGAAATGTCTCTGGAACATTGATAGTGGGAGTGAGGTGCTTACACATAACCACCTGGTGACATTTTTTATGGCCTTGGGTATGTGAGACATCAGCAGAGGGCTGGCAGATACGAAACAGATTTACAAGAGGTCTGGCAGGCCATACTGGGTTTTTAAAAATGGTAATAGGCACTCATGTTTCATCACTTGAATCATGCTTCTCTTGCCACTCTGTCTGGTTCGTATTGTCTTCTCTGACACTTTTAAAAGTTAACCCACAAATCTCTGCAGACATTAGTGGCGCTGCTAATGAGGCCCCTTTTAGCTTACGGTGTGCTTGAGTTCTCTATAACAGTAACGCCCCCAACCTCACACAGCCTAGTACAGACCCTGTGTAGTTTTGGTAGCAGGGTGTCCTGGTGCCAAGCCTTTAATGCACTTGCCATCCTTTTTCCATAATGCCATTATTGTCTTGCTATTATCTGTGACCACTTTTTATAAAATGGGTGGCAGATCTAGTTGGAGCTGGACTTAACTTTGGGCTCCCAGCCTTCTCCACTGTTGTAGCAGGTCTTGTATACAAGCATAGATGGCAGTTGGCACAGGGCAGATGGGCATCTGTGTTTCAGGGTTGGCCCTTCCCCCCTCCTGTTGCTGTACAAGACTGGCAGTGGAGCAGTTGGGTCTTCATCATTTCCCCACAGCAGCATCTAGGGACTGGTAAGGGTTTTTTTGATATAGTACCAGAAAGCCATAATAAATAAAT